CATTTACCATCCATGAAATAATGCTCATCCTTCTGTCAGCCAAAATACTCTCACAAGATCTTACCAATCAACATCTTTCTCTGGTTTAAGTGCGTTGAGCACTCGACTAGTGAGGGAAGCTGGTGGGAGGTGGAGAAAGACTCCATGCACCTTGGGGTCATCGTTAAGCTTCAGCAACTCTTCTATTATCTACATGCAAGCAAAGATACAGAAACAGCAAAGATGTGTGAAAGTAGAGAAGCTGAGCAGCAGGAACTATGAATCACCTGCTATTAAATAAACGACTGAGCAATTCCCAGAAATATCCATTGCTTCTGAATGAATAAGGAGGGAAGACCCAGCTGAGCCAAAGTAGCTGTTGAGCAGCTTCACCAACAATATATCAAGCAGCTAGGCTAACAATTACATCACAAATGAATAAATAATTACATTAGAAGCATAAAGTTAAAAATATTGACTAAATCACTGAAAAGTAAGCAACCATGATCACACCCAAAAGAAGCCTGGCAAAGCATGTACAGACTTGCTTACAAGGAATCCAACCTGTTAGTCAGTGTTACTTACTTCATCTTCACTGCAGTTCTTTGCCAAACAAATCTGAGTGACATTCAAGCCAATCTATGAAGAGACAGACATGGATATTTCAGCCACTGAGTAAATTTCAAAAACAAATATTCACACAATGGAGTGTAAAAAAAAAAAGAAAAAGGGAAGACCACCTTGCCAGCAACTTTCTTATTGATTTCCAACATGCTGCCATTTTCACCAGCCTTCGAGATGAACACAAAATCATGATTAAAACACAGAGACCAACCAGATTGTACAGCAACGCAACAGTGTCAATAAAAAAAAGATACTCCTGAGGTCAAAGGCACATTAAGAAAAATCAAGTCATGTCCACAAAGTTTGGTCAAGTACAGTTAAAAAGGCTTTTGCTGGAGTTTATATTTTGTCTCTATGATCTTCGGAACGGCGATGCCATACATTACCTGTAAAATGACTAGCAGGGGCTGGATGTCAGGACTTCTTCTTTGCAGTGTTGCAATTGCCTCCTGGGTACTCTGAACTACTTCCCTGTAAATAAGCATTAAGGTACACAGCTTTACAATGGTGAAAGCCAAGCAGATTTTAAAAGCCACAGACAGCTGTAGAACTGAAATATACTGTGAAGTGGGTAATGAAGTACTACCCAAGAATTGTGATGAAGATTACAATTCAATTTATTGTACTGTTCCACCAGGAATATTTTATCATCGTTTTGTTTTGCTACTAAGCAAAATTTTGCTGCATTGTTTCAGTGTCTTCTTTTTTCCTCCTTTACATATAGATCAATAAATAATGCATATATACACCAACTGGATTACCACAATCAATTTGAAATAGAACGGATTTTGTTAATTTGTGTGCCAAATTAAATGTCTGTATTGGGACTGAAAGACCGATTATCTCTGGTAACTGAGTGGGAGGGGCCTCTATAGTGACAATGACCTACATTTTACGCAGAAATGTAAACATTAACTTTATCAACCCCATCTCAAACTGTTGGTGCAATATTCTCTCTTTTAAAAAAAATCACAAAAAAATAAAACTAGAAACCAACATTATGTCAGATGAAATCCCATATTTAAAATAGAACTTTGTAAAACAAACTACCCTGAATTTACAGCATATCATCTTAACTGGTAATGAATTAACTTCCCTCAATCATCCATCTATTCATTAATTTCTTCCATTAATTTTGCCCGTGTTTGCTGTATAAATTGCATGTTTAGTAACAACACAGAGAGATTGCATCATCTGGGTGCACGTGGGGAACTGGCTGTTAGCCAAACCGGAGCCGTTTGTCTCTCTAGTGAACTAAATAGTTACACTTTCTAAACAAAACTAAGCCAAAATATACTGAATTGAAATATAAACGTTTAATACACAACATTTCTTACCCCACTGATCTGCTGCATTCGGACCATTCGTCCTCTTTGAAAAGTTTCCCGAAGTTTGCAGTTAAAGTCGGGCTCGTCCCGCTGCTAGTAACGGTGCTAGCAGTCCGAAGGGTTAACCGGCTGTTTGTCGTCCAAACCGGGAGACATCCACGCGACATGCCGCTGAATCTGCTTCCTGGACGGGAAGCACGCACTCGGACGCTACAGCAGACACTGCGAATTGTGGCCAGCTTCATGGTGACTTCTTACTTTGTTTCTGGGTCTCAGAAGGGTCCTTGACTCTCCGTTAGAGTAGCACACGAAGGAGTCTTTCCTAGAGGAAGAAAATAAGTTGAGGTAGTCTCTGGGTACTGATGGAGGTGTGGTAACTTCAGGGGTACTCGGAAGTATAAATGTCCACAGCCCTGTGCTTTCTATAAACTCCAAATATAATAAATCTCCAATAGGCTAAATGGTGGTTTGTAACAACACAACACGTGCATATGATGCCAAGTAATTAACGTGCAGTCTCTCAACCGCAACTCACTTTAAATGTGATAGTTTCTCTCCGAAGGGTTAACCGGCTGTTTGTCGTCCCAACCGGGAGACATCCACGCGACATCCATCATATAATTACTTGCATATGATGCCAAGTAATTAACGTGCAGTCTCTCAACCGCAACTCACTTTAAATGTGATAGTTTCTCTCCGAACAATTGGTTTTTTCTATCGAGCGCTTTTATGACTTAAACGTCACTGCCTTCAGATGTTTATTATGTTAAAACAAACCCCGGAATTTCCAAGTAAGCTCAGAACAGTCGCTTTCTTTACTAATATGGAATTTTACAGGTCCTTTTTGGTTTATTTAGAAAATCCGAGGGTATAGTGAACGCATCACAAAATCAGCAAACACTCTAGTGCAGGTAAAGTTAAATCAGGGAGCAAGAAACACATACACACGTGATTAAAATCTTAAGATCTGGTAAGAAATTGCATGTGTTTTGTGCTGATGAATCATAACCAGGCTCCAAGAAGAACTTCAAAATGTAAAATAAACAGTAACATGAAACAGGATATATTAAATCAAATATAGAAGACAAATGACTGAAAACTGCATTTGAAATCAAACAGGGATAAATCAGCTAATTAAAAGTTTGCATTTTTATGTAATTTTTATGTAATGGGGACGTGTAAGAAGTATATTTTCAACTTATTGACAGACAGTGAGGCTTGTGGGACAAACAAATCAAGTAGCGGACCATAAATGACCTGTGCTGAGTAGAGGAAACTGACGTCTTGAAAATTCAGTTTTTATTTTTACAGAGTAATGGAGCTTCAGGTTGTGCAGGCACGTCAAGCCCTGCCTTGATGTGATAAAATTTTGGGCCAGGTTTTGTTCTTAAGTAAGGGCCCTTGTCCGTGCGCTGATAACATTGTTGTTCAGCCCATCAGATCCATGACCTTGTCTAGAAGAAGAGTAGCTTTCTCTTATATTATCATAAATTTGACCTAATCTAAGTCTTATTGAAACATTTGGAGTTAGATGGCAATTGGAGTTTCCATTCATCCATCTATAGATTTTAGTCTATTTTAGAATGCAATTTCAACTGTCAGGGTCTTCAGAGACTGGCACCACAGGATTTTACAGATAAAATTAAGAGGGGCAGATACCATTTTGGTTGCATGCAGCCCCAAAGCCATGGCACACAATAAAATGATGTGCAAAAAAGCATTCATGCAGAATTTATCTTTTATAAACAACTTGATTGTCAAAGTCTTTATCCCCCACTATTGCAGGAGAACATCTGATATGATCATATGACTGGTGTGTAACTCAGACCTTAGTAACCTTTTGCACTGTAATTGATGTTTAAATACTTCACATGCTATTGATTTCTCTCCAGTCTAAGGAAAATAGTGATTAGGCTTGATTTTTCAAACATTATGCAATATTTGAAATATTTCAAAATAATCCTCTGGCCAACAAAGACTTTGATTTATCTTCTGCCAATATTAGTCTTGTTTTTCCCTTGGTTTGAAGTTTCTTTTTTGTCTAGTTCATCTTTGTTAACTATTTACCTCCCCTCAATCTGCCTGTTTACTTTCTTCCAGAGCTGTTCCTAATCCCCCAATTAACTCACCTGCATTCTGTGTCTCTATGGAATAACAGGAGATAAAAAGAAAATGTTTTCTTGTTGTCCTACTGTGAAAAGTATTCTTTCACCTTATAAAATAACCTTAACAATAGAATTTGAGCATAACATTTGAAACCAGTGCTAGAAATAAAAATAAAAAAATTTCTGGCTGCTGGTTACCAAACATGACTTATGACCAGTATGCCTGTCCAAGAGTGCTGGAACTCAAACACACAACAATTTTTGCTTCATATTTGTTTATATAGAAACTAGACCTTCAACCCAAATAATGTATCTCTGAGACAATCCTGTACGAATTTTATTAAAGTTTGCCTTTTCAAGTTTTTAATAGAAAAGGCAAATAAATCTGCAAATCATCAGCAAAATGATTTTGATTCCAAAATACAATGAAAACAGGATGGAGACTAAAGACAGAGCTGTGAGTCACACCATAACTAAGAGGGGACATTCAATTAATCAATAATACCAATATGGATTATTAAAGTTCCTATTTGACAGATAGGAATGAACCATTCCAGTGCATGCCCTTGATCCTAACAAATACCTTCAGACAAGTAGAAAATACATAATAGTATTCCCTTGTTTTGTGTCCCCAATTTAAATACAAAAAAAGTATTTAAAGAGATTTAGTTTTTGTTGTGAGACATTGTTTTCACAACTGATTTAGTTACACTGCAGAATGTTAATTTATGATTTTAAAAGTCTACATAATGTGTGAACAAATCCACATGCAGTCGAATTCACTTTTTTTTAGTCACTGTATTTCTATTTGTTGTTTGAGCATGCGCGTAAGAGAAGCTGGTTCTACCTGTCTGTTGGTTTTAATTTGTCTCACTGTCAGACATAGGCCCACACACAAAGAAAGCACCTTTAAAAATAATTTGGGCGTGGATGGGAAAATCTTTTTCGGTTGCCTATTTCAGTCCAGGTTCTCGTCTATTTCAATTCCTGAACGCCACAAATTAAAAGTAACAAACTGCGCATAAATCTGAGATGTTGAAGGAGAACATTTTAAAAAACGTTTCTTACAGTCTCCGTACATTTATGGTAGAGGCGTAATGGCTCTCCCAGCTCAATCACACCTTTTGCGAACATAATCACTTCAGACTAAACCGACCGGACCTCATTCTTCATGTCACATCTTTTCTGGTACGTGACGTGGCGCAATCCATCGCCCTAACGAAGCCACGGAACAATTCCAGCTTTAAGGCTCCAAAGATAGCTCCATTACGCATGTGGAGCGCTTTGTTTTTTCTGCTCACTCTGAGCGCTCGGCCCCAGACCCGGAGATGCTGCTGAGGCGCTTCACTCAGCCAACACCAGAGGACAAGATTTGATTTCTACGCACAACAGTTAAGGCAACAGGTAAGGCTCTTGCTTTTAATCAAGTCACCTCTGCATGAGATTAGGAGGACATTTTTTTCACCTCCTTTTTCAGGAAATTGTGAATGGAGATGAAAAGATTACGAGATGTAAGTGTGTGTTGCGGTCCATTCTCGATCTTAATCAATATAGCCATATTCATACAAATATATTTTAGGCATAAAACGGTTTTTTTTTTTTTTTTTTGGACAAAATATTTAGAATTTCCTAATTATTTTAACAAAATATGCAGATTTTGATTAATTCTGTACCATGAAGTTTCAGGAAATATATTGCCTGATGGTCTGCTAAAATTTATGTTAAGAAGATTCTCCTTCTTGAGAGAGAAAACATGATAATCACCTAAAATTTTGTTAAAATAAAATGAACACAATTATTAATTATTTTGATATCTATTTTACACATAAATAAATTGAACACCTTCATTACACCAGAATCCACTGGATTTTTATTTTTATTATTTTATTTATTTTTTTTTTTGCTAGGATTGTTCTGAATGAAAAAAATAGCTTACTTCACAGTTATGTCTTCTCGGTTGGAAGCTGAGGCAATACTAGATGCCATGTAGAAGAATTTTATCTGATTTAAAAGATAATTTGATGCCCCACTTGTGTTCAAGATAAAAACTAATGCTTGGACAAAGACGTCATACATCACAAGTTGTGAGAACTAGTTTGGTCACTAGCTACGCCTTTGCCTGTTCTTTGGAGAACCTGTTAAGCCAGTGATGGGCGTTGGGTGGGTTGACTCTGAAGGAAGAAGGAACACAAAAAGGACTTTTAGACACCCAGTTAAAAAAATACACATTACTGTAAATTTACTGGATTTTCCAGTAATGTAAAATATAGATTTTCTTTACAGATTCGAGAATTACAGAAATCATTGTTAAACTGTAAATCTAAAGTTTGTGTTTCTGTCTTATGCCAGGTGAGTCATCTCTATTAATGTGCATAGGAGAGACAACATTCAGAGAAGGACGATCCTCTTGAAATCTCAAGGCTTCCCCTGAAATCCAGTGTAAACATGAGGGACAGACTAAGTCAACTGCAGGAAATGCCCACCGCCAGTGACGAGTCGGTGGACTATCAAGAGTCCACCTTTTCTGACTCCTTCAGTAATGTCGACCTGGAAGACGAGCTGCCTCACCAGGCGATAGTGTTTGACAACAGCCCTGCTCTCAATGATGTCTTTTCTCAATCCCAGGACATACATAGAGAGATACAGCTTATCCGACTTGAGGTTAAAAGGCTCCGTGAGCAGAACTCTCGCATTCTCCAGGGCAACACTAACATGAGCACAATTAAGAAAGACTCCAATGCTATAGGAGCCGACATAAAGAAGAGGGCTGAGGGTATTCTAAATTACCTACACAAAATGGATGGAACAGCTCACAAGTTAGAGGAAGAGCATGGTGAAAATTCTGCAATCACACGCATCGCCAGAACCCAGTACGCTTGCCTCAGCAATGGCTTTCGAGACGCAATGTTTGACTATAACGAGGCCGAGATGGCCCATCGAGAGAACTGCAAAGCCCAGATCATGAGGCAGATGGAGATAGTGGGGCGCGATGTATCAGGCGAAGATGTGGAGGAGATGATCGAGAAGGGCCAGTGGAACATCTTTAGTGACAATGTTGTGAGCGAAGGCAAAACGGCCCGATCGGCTCTGTTCCAGATTGAGAAGCGCCATCAAGAGCTCGTAGATCTGGAGAACCGAATCAAGGGAATCCATGAGATATTCCTGGACATTGCCCTGCTGGTGGAGGAGCAGGGCCCAATGGTGGACTATATCCAAACAAATGTTCAAAAAACCGATGCAGGCCTACAAGACGCCATTGTCAAGCTTAATCTAGCTAAAAAGCATAGCAACAATAACCCGTTTAAGAAGATGTTTTGCAGTTGCTTCCCATGCTTCAAGTAAAGACCAGAATCACATTCAATGCAATATCTTTGTTCAATACATTCCAGTTATTATTGCAAAGCAATACATGTCACTGTTGTTGAAAGACAAAAACTTTAAGGAGTTCAATGAAGGTCTGAAGGTAGAGCAATTAGCACAGTCATTTAGACTGACATATATATATATATATACTCATGTAAAACTTGTTTCAAATTAAATTAACAAGTATCTCAATTCCTGAAATGGACTGGTGAATTGCTCAGGACGCCCAATGGCTGCCATGACCCTGAGAGTGAGAGTGATTTATATATAGACACTTTATATAGAAAGTGTCTGCATGGTTCTCAATTCATTATTTTATTAATGGGGTGTGACAAAAATTGTTTTAAATTATTGTTGATGTAGTTATTGCCATTGAGACTTTACGGGTCCCAAACTTTACTGGAACAAATTAGGTAGAATGAAGTGCCATTGTAAACCTCCTTGTTTAGAAGCAAAATATGTTTAAAGGATGTTGACAGAAGTGTAAACAAGACTGCCTCTAAAGTTTGTGCAATTCAGCCGTCCTTGATTCATTTTAGATTGTTAATTTTAAGTCAATATTCATTATAAACAACAATGTGTAATTGGTGAGATTTGACATCTTTTGGCTGCAACAGAGAATAAATGTTTATGGTACAATCATATTGTTTAACAACATTTTTTTTTTATTACTTTTTTGTATATTTACTCCTTTCTTACCTTTTTTCATAATGTGGTTTCTTGTATGGAGTATTAATGTATCAAAGCTACCAAACCATTTCATGTAGCTTTAGAGATGCCTACAAATCTGAACGTTATCCCTGCATAACAAACATTGCGTCTAACAAAGACCTTGCAGAAGGATTTTATCATGACATTACTTTTAGCTAAAATAATTTTTTATCCCATTATGTCTGAGATTGCTGTGATGCTGATGTTCTTCATGTGATAAATATTTATAAATAACATGTGCCAAATGATACACTTTCCTGTACCTCAGGAAAACATCTTGTGTCTCCCTGAAGGGACTTCTTTTGGGCTGGGTTAAGGAGATGTTAAGCCGAGAATCCCTGTCCACTGAGCTGTGGAATGGAAAGGTCCGAACTGAAGGTTCAGGAAACTGGATAATTTTAGAAATAGGCCAGAGATATCCAAAGTAAGTCAGTCCTTTAAATTTGAATTATTTCCTTCACTTGATGCAATGTGGAGGAGCTAATTCTGTCATAATGTGTTGTTGGTTGATTGTTGATTCAAATGCAGAACAGTAGAGAGGTGGAACAAATGATGAAAAGGTATTTAATGAAAAACATGAGCAACAAAAAACATACAAAAAATCCACAGGGAGCAGAGCAGAATGCAAATAAAATCAGAAGAAACAATAATTAGATAGCACAAGGCAATATGAGAGATACAGAGAGGAAATGGAAGTAACAGTAGGAACCAGCAAGGAGTGACTGAGAAAGAGGTGTAAATACTGGGAGGTTGAATGCTGAACAAGGACCTGAGCTGATGAGCTAACAGGCTGCAAGTGTGAGAGGAAAAAGCAGTAGGCAGCCTGAAGAGAAAAAGAGAAAGAGCAAGTGACACATTGGGGATTAGGAAATAATTCTAACAAATAACTAGATATACAAAATATAATAAAACCTAGAGTAACAAAGGAAAGGACTAGACACAAGAAATAATCTTATCTACAATCACCAAAAAGGAACTGATGAAAAAATAGGAACAAGGCAGAATTAATAGAAAATAGTAAGAAACACAAATAACAACAAAGCCCAAAACAAACTCAAACAACCCAAGATCCTGACAAATTTAGCCATTTGATTTAGATCTGTTATAGCAGGAAACATGCAGGTCACCTGCCATTGAGGAGTGACAGTGGACACCCACGACATGACTTTTTTTCTCCTTTCTCTTTTCTTAGAGTTCTTAATTCTTCCAGCGCTTTCACCACATCAGTAATATATACTAATACAACTCATTTCAGATTATTTACATAACAGCAATACACAACAAATGTCGTCTCAAGGCACTTTACAGATAAAAAGTCAATTCAGTTCAATCATATAGAGGGATTCTTAACTCAACATGCCTAAACTATGCAGGCTGTTTTTCCAGTTCAAAGGGAAACTCTTTAGAGTTTTGAGAAGAAAAATTACCGGCAGATGTTCCAAATGGATTCTTTGATAGGACTGACTCTTTATTGAGTCTCATAATGGCTATGCTAATGCCAGAAGCTTGGTCTTTGAGGAAGTTATGGTGTTTTAGTGGGAAGGCCTTGGTATGTCACCTGTGCAGGGGTGGCAGGCGGCTGCACACTGAGCAGACAGCTGACTTCCTTCTCGTCAGAGTGAAAAAATGCCACAAGCTCTTCGGATGAAACAAACAAGATAAGCTGAAAAGGGTTTTACTTGCTTTTTGGATACTGTGAGACTCCAAAAACGGTAAGTTGTTTTAATTTTTTAGTTGAACAATTTCAGATTTGTTTTCTCAGTTAAATTGAAGCCACCTGTTGATATGAGGGTAGCTGTTTAGGGCAACTTAATTAATGCTCAGCAGCTTGGTGCCAACACTGTTTTGGTGTCGATAATAAGAATGCGCTTGAGATTTTCAGCAAATATGTCAAATATTCCACATTTTTAACCAACGGTGGTGAAAGTAATTTTCGAGAGCTCTTAATTTTGAGACTGCATTCAGCAAAACTCCAAGAACAAGATTATATTTTGAGTCAAATGAGACCACCAAAGTATTTTTAAATCAAGCCACACTTGCATAAGATATTTGTAACACACCTTCATTCATTGTCATTACCTCTGTTTTCAGTAAATTATCTTCCTTGTTCCTGGTTTAAAAAAAGACATTCCTTTGAGCCAGTCATCTGTGACTGCTTCCAATGTAACAGATAAAATGTCACTGTAATGCAAAATACAAACTTGCTAAGAGGCAGACATTTTTTGTGTGGATGTCTAAAAACATTTAGAAAGCTGCACATCGGATACAGATAAAGTGTACACACCCCTGTTCAAAATGTTATGTTTTAGAGAGGGACAAAAGTATGCTGTGGTTAATTTCAAAACAATTTCAACTTTTAATATTTGATTTTCTATGACTGAACTGAAAAGGAAGGAAATGTCCTCTAAAAATGATCAAACAGCTGCAACAATTTGGTTACCTAACTGTGAACATTCATTCTTCCAACTTATCCAAGTATTTATCTCAGACAAGAATGGGGTGAAAGACAGAATATATCACAAATAACTATGAACATCCATTAACTTATTATCTGCTGACCATTCTCCTGCTTCACTTTGAGCATTTAGGCTTCTTATTGGAGTCTTATCAGCCTGTTTGAAAATTTAAAAAGTTCTCCAAATCTGTAAGGCTGAGAGGATATCTCTTGTCCACCACCTACCTGCACAGAGATCTGCAGGTGACTGTAGATCTCTGTGATTTAGTCTCTTATTAGGACATTTTAAATGTTTATTAGTCTTTAAATCTCACTTCATCTTCAGCTTTCTTGTATAGAACTAAAGGGTGTTGGTCAAAAACAATTATTTAGAACTATTTATCATTTCTTCCACCTTCACAAAAAGCAACAAAATAAATCCAGTTCATCTTGAAGAAAAGCAACCCCATCATGTGCCACGGCCAATATCTATAGTAGACATGCTGTTTGAGCATTGACTTTCGGAAATGTGACCCATAAGGTTCATTGTTGGTTTCATCAGACCATAAGCTAGTCTTGCATTAAATTTGGGAGAAAACATGCATTTTTTTGTCACATGTATAACACAAGCTGTTCTTGATGGACCTTCCTGCAGCTATAATATAGTCTAATTTTGCCTCACCAGCACCAGCAAGGAGTGACTGAGAACCTACTGGGCATCTTATTGGGGAGTCTGATGCTTAGCTAATAGTTCTTTTCTTTTTTTTTTAACACAATCTCAAATTAAAATGTTGAACTATCCTGAGGATGTCCAAAATTAATTTTACATAAGCCTCAGTTTACAATTGTTTTTGGTCTGACAATATATTTCATCCACCATTTTAGATCCAATAACCAACATTTTCTTCATGTGGGTTCTTAGGCAAAATGCGGGACATGCTGGTGAGACTCCAGACCATCAGCAAAGAGCAGGAGGACTATGAGCCGGAGCTTACTGGACCTGAATACGACGTAGACAAGAGGACTCTGACTCAAGATGCTGTCATTTTTGATTACTCTACAGAAATGGATGATATCCTGGAGGAGTCGCGTTCCATACGCAAAGATATGTCCATGCTTAGTTTAGAGATTCAGCGCCTGAGGATCCACAATGAGCGTTATGGCACAACTGTGGGACGTCTCACTTTTCTGAAAAGGGACTCTGACTCCATTGCGAGAGGAATCCATCATCGAGCAGAGTCTCTGTATAACCAAATACAGAACCTGGGTAAAGAGTGCAGCAGGCTGGAGGAGAAAAATGGTCCCAACACTGCAGTTACTCGCATTGCCCGTACCCAGTATGAAACGCTCATCTGTTCCTTCCGTGAAGCCATGAGTGACTACCATCAGATTGAGGAGAAACAGAGAGGCGCATGCAGGACAAGGCTACAGAGACAAGCTTCCATAATGGGGGCAGAAATGAGCGAGGAAGATCTGAATGACTTGGTGGACAAAGGTGGTGAGGGCTGGACCGAGCTGTCCCAGAACCTTTGCCAGGATGGTAGCCGTTCATGCCGTTCAGCCATGGATGATATCAAAGGCAGACATAAAGAGCTGATGGACCTGGAGGCCAGACTGAAGGAGGTCCACGAACTGTTCCTCGACATGGCCATGCTCGTAGAAGAACAGGGTTTACTTGTTGATAATATCCAACTTAATGTGTGCAATACAGAGGAACATATTGAAGATGTAAATTGTAAATTAGCCAGGGCCAAAGTTTACAAGAAGAAGAACCCTTGTTTGCAATGTTGTCCCTGGCTACCATGCTGGAAACAAAGTGGAGCATTCTAAGACTTCAGTCAATAATGTGCAATTTATCGAACAATCAAGTTTATGAGACAGATGTTTTAACCGCATAAAAAGAGATGGGATCAGTATGAAGTATAGCTTGCAATCATTTTAATTAATGGGAACTGCAATCTTTACAGATACTCAGATACTCAAATTTTTGGAATTACTTCAGTATGTGCAGCTTGATATTTAATGCTTATTAGTATAGTAAAATTTCTCTATGATCACATGAATTCATCAGTGGAGGTGTGTTTGTGACATCAGATGAGTTGAGATTTTAAATGGAGAATGTTTCAGTTTGGAATAATTTTGTTTAAAGATGTTTGGATTAAAATGAATTCCTGCTGCAGTCAATTGTTTCTGAGTGACCCACATTTTGGCTACACAAACAGACCTGGATCACGTGGGGAAGCAGCTCACATGTTTGGAAATGAGTAAGAATTGGATTCACGAGAAGAAGAGGGTTCATAATTTACACAAGACGGTGAATTACAGACTTCCCAGTGTCCATGTGCAATTCTAAGATGGACATGGTTGGGGTTTTTATAATAGGAACTTAGGAGATACTTTGTTTTTCTAAGTTATATTTTATTCTTTTTAAAGTCTATTACTTTATTGAACCCATTGATTTTCTTTTTTTAAAGGAAACTTTCAGTGTTTATGTTGGAGCACAAAAATCATACATAAGAATCCTGAAACGATAGATACATGCTGTTGTAGCTGAAAAGTGATAAACGGGAGCAGTTAGGAACTTTAGATGATTGAGCAAAAGTAGTTTTCAGCAATGAAGTCTGCATTTGTCAATGAGAAAATGCAGTTACATTTGTCTAATAGCTTCACAATATAGCAGTTAAAGACTCCATGAATAAAACGAGCACATTTTCACAATCACTAACAGCATATCAGG